CCTTCCACTTCGTTTCCATTATTATTAATAATATTATTATTGTTCCATCATCACCATTGTTATCGCTCACAGTAAAATAAATATTGTACTGCATCAATATACACATCTCTACTAAAGCGACACGTTCCGCCACCGTGTGGTACTTTTTTTCTATTTCAGTTCGCATTTATAACACTCCCTGACGCACACACACACTCACACATGAAGATAACAGTATAATAAAGAAAAACAAAGGGATCAGACAAGTCGTCCGTCTGAATAACTTGACCTATGGTGCGTCTCCATCCTGGAGTGATAAGTGAAAACGTAGATAATTCATTTTACGCCCATGGCACACCCGGTAGAAGATCATCATCCTCATCATCATAAACCATTTCTGCCGTTAAGTTGGGAGGAATAATTTGCGATCCAGTGCACGCTGGCTGCCATTGGCTATTGTCATGCCGTGAAGGCGTAGAGTGTCTTTAATGTTGTCGATCCATTTTTCCGCGGCTGTCCTCTTGCTCTTGTAGCGGATCTTCTGAGATGTAGTGCTTGTGATGGTATTTGATCTTGCTGCATTCTATCGAGATGGCCAAACCACTTGATCTGCTGTTTCTCTATGAATCTAGTACAAGGTGTCATTCCCATGTCCATGTTTGGCACTGGTAGCTTAATGTCGAAATGAAATGGTAGACGATGCTACTCATATTTTATAGAGCAATCAGAACTTACTGGGTGATGCGGTCAACGCTAATGAAACCGACCAATCAAATCTTTTTCTTAAATTGTTGTTGTATTCTAGACACAGCGTTACGGTCCGATACTTTTGTAATTGTTGCTGTGTTTGTTATTCGACCTGCGCTTGGTTAATATAAATTTATGTAAACTATGGTATCATTTCAGTGGTTTGAAATGAATAATGTCCGTATTCCATAGTTCTGAATTTGAAGTTGTACTATATGTCTATGTGGACATTTTTTTAATGGTGCCCACTTGGTTACGTTCTTGGTACGCTTGTTTCCATAGCGAGGAGCATACGCCAGTTGCATCTGACAGGTTCGATTCCAGGCACAGTAACTATAGCTTTCGATTTTTATGTTGTCTAGTGTGTCCTTCTGTCTTTGTACTTCTTTCTACGAGTACCGATCAACACATTGTCTGTTTAATAATTATATATCTATAATATTTACGCGGCTTTAAGGGTTTCCCCTCTGTTTATTTATGTGAACGACGTGTAACACAATGCAACCTACCTATCAAATCTCTTTCTTATATGTATGTGTATTTTAGACAAAGCATTACGGTCTGCTGTGCTTGTAAATTGTTGCTGTGTTTGTTATTCGACTGATGCTCGTTAATATACATTTGTGTAACCTATAGTGCCATTACTCCTGTTTGAAATGAATTATGTCCGTATTCCATAGTTCTGAATTTTCAGCTGTACGATAGACATGCCAATGTGGACACCTTTTTTTTTTGGGGGGGGGGTGCAGGGAGCACCTGTCTATATTCTTACTACGCTTGTTTCCCTAGAGAGGCGCACACGCCATTTGGATATCACAGGTTTGATTCCCGGCACGGTAACTATAGCTTTCGATTTTTATGTTGTCTAGTATGTCCTTCTGTCTTTCTGCTTCCTTCTGTGAGTGCCGATCAATACATTGTCTATTTGTTAATTATATATTTTTAATATTTATGCGGCCTCAAGGGTTCCACCGCTCTTTATTAAAGGCGACCGATGTGATAGTTACCACATCATCCAGCCAATGACAATCAGTAATCTGTCCTTTCCTGCCATTAGCCAATAGGACAGATGGAACTGTATTTTTACAGATCAAGTGGTACTCTATGGGTCGTATGGCCTACGTTGAGAAGGCAGTCTGCACTTCCCCGCATACAGATTTTAAGTCCGATTGACCTATAAGTCCACATCGGTTACATCAATCTACCTCGAATCAAATTCGAACCAAAGACGTTCAGGTCAGCAGACAAATAGGCTAACATAATATATCCACTAGACTTCAACGCGTGGAAACTGCCCCCCCCCCCCTTTTTTTTTTTTAAAACTTATCGAGTCAGTAAGGTATCCACAGTCAACAGATGGGGAACCACTAAGGCAGCAGAAACATTTTATACAGGGTGTTTGTAAAGTCTCACTCTACGAACAGGACACTGCAAGCTAAGCTACTACATGCATAGCCTAAAGTAAAGACTTTACAGTACCCTCAGTGTGCATGTCAGACAGGACCACAAACACATGAGCTCATTCTGCAGACCTGCCCATGCTACCTAGAACTTCGAAAAGAAACCTGGCCTCAAGAGCAAAGTGTGCAGAGCAAGTTGTGGGGAACCATGAATGATCTGCTGCGGCGAGTTCATAGAGGCAACCCATCTAATGATCTGATCAGAGCATTCGAAGCCGAACGCAAAGAAAAAGAAAGAAGAAGAAAAAGAAGAATTAAAGTCCCTCACTACATTTAGCATATTTAGAACAAATTAAGGGGAAAAAAACGAGCACATAACGTCATTTTTAAAATGTGCTCCACAGTCAATCGTGAAGTAATATGCAGTGAATAGCCGTAGTCTGATGGGGTAAATCTTTGCGCACTCAAAACGGAATGGTGGTATCAACAGAGGACTTGAACTCCATTCAAAGATTAACAGCAAAAATGTCGCAGAAGGTATTTGACATATAGAAAACCGTGTACAATCATGTTTTGAAGACCGCGGTGGACATTTTCAATATCTTTATAATGAATATTTAAGTCACTTTCTAGCTTCCCCAAAACAGCATTAAACTACAGCAGTGAATATTGTAATTAAATGATTTTTGAACACATTTATTTATGTCGTCATGTATTTATTATTATTTTTTTTTTTTTTTTTTTTTTTTTGCATACAAAGTGTTATGAAACTTTATAAACGCCCTGTATAATAAACAGACATACATGTAATGGGTATGTGGCCCGATGTGTTTAGAACTGTTGTGTTTGACATTCGATCTATGCTTGGTTAATACAAATGTTTGTAACCTATGGTGTATTTTTTAATGGGTTGAGACAAATTCTGTCTGTATTCCATAGTTGTGGATTTAAGCTGTACGATACACATGGCTATTGAAGACACCTTTTACCCTAGGTTTATTAGGTTTGGTTTTAGACTACAGATCAACATCATGGCTGAAGAGTAGTAACCCATAAGTGCTTCGTTCTACTTCTGAATCAAGCCCGAGTCCGAAGAATCTCAGTGCAGTGCACGAACTCCATAAAACAGGCAAGGATCCTGAAATACTTTGGGTAGATTTTTAACTCAAAATGTTTGCCCGGGCAGCACCATTAGGCCACTCTTTTCGATTTCCAACGGCCAAGGGATTTTTTTACGTTCACAACAATACACACGGGCGTCAGATCTTACTACCCAGGAACCATGGAAAATTATTAGAAGTCCACGTGAAAAAATCCCAGCCTTCACTGGGGTTTGAACCCGGGACCTCCAGCACTCGAGGCGGAGGGGCCCAATTGTTCGTGCGTCTTAGTACACTTGCTTCTACAGCGAGTTGCTGTCGTCCTTTGGAATGTGTTGGTCCGATTCCTGGAATAGTAGCTATAGCTTTAGATTTTTATGTTGTCTACTGCGTCCTTCTAACTTTTTACTTCTTTTTACGAGTGTCGATCAATACACGTCGGTTTGTTTATTAAATTAAATGTATTCACAATGTTACCTCCGACCGCGGTTCACACACGCAAAAAACTATCATCATCGTGTAGGAGGTCCTTTGCAGGAGGTCGCGCTCACCACCACACACTAGACATGCACTTTGCCCTTGCTAACTTTCCCGCCTAGTAAACTTCCATGCCCAGTGTGTCCCCGATTTCCTATTCACAAAAATAGCCACCATTTATTGGCTGGTGGAAGTGTGGGCAGACATATCACTACCTGTTGGTCATTGAACTCCATCAATCTCTGGGTTTCTATCTTAACTGGATCTCTGATAGAAAGACCAGGCGTACGGAAATCGCCGCCAATAAAAGGCAAGTCCCTTTTCTATTGTTACTATTTTTCACGGTCCGCCGAGGTTCGTGTGTAGCCACAAATGACAGGAACGAAAGAACTGCCCACAAGTGGCCGCCTCGCCCTTGCACTGTCCTATCCTGACAGACGTCTTAGAGACTGTCCCTATCTACGTCACCCACAGTCAACTATCGCAGTGAAGGGTTTCCCTTTTTATTTTAAAGTCACATTCGTTGTAAATTAAATACCGCTATTTAGGATTGTCATAAAATATTCATAATTTATTCGTAATATAAAACCAGCAGGGAAAAAAACGACCACGAATGTTATTGACTTTATAGGAAGTTAATAATTTCTAGCAATATCAGGGAACATTTCATGAAATAAATACAACCACACAGTATTTAAATGTGGTTAACGTGACAGTTAACAGCGATTACAGCAGCAGTTCCAATTAGTATTATTAACTGTGGCAATACCTCCCGTCATTACAATTGAATAATTGTTTTTTTTTAAGGTTAACTGACATTGCAAATTTTTATTTAAAACCGTAACTTAAATTATAATAACTTATTTCTTGTCTATTTTACTGCAAAATCACAAGACAATAAGCGTACGTTGCTTGCTTAAATACGGTTTTATTTAAATGTGGCCGAAATGTTTTCAATTCTAAATGTAGTTTATCTGTAATAGATTTTTGAAATCCTTCATATTTTGATGGATTCTTAAACCTGTAAACCCCACATATCCCCGCTGGATACATTTTTCTTCCATTTTGGGACGTTATCTGTGCCACGCCAAGTGTATCATTTCAATAGTTATCTTTGAACGACCCTTGATTGCATAAATCCCCAGTTGCTGGAAAGGTGAACGTCAAAAACTCTACATGCAGGAAACTGTTTGTGGGACAGAATTTTCAAACAAGATGGCTTAGTTCTGTTCGGGGTTATAGTCTCAACATTTTGCCTGTTAGATTTACCTGCAAACATTTTATTCCAATGTGGCAAATGAAGAGATCAAGTCAAGTAGTTTGTAGAGTAGGCTCAAGGGAGATTTGCCTCAGAGCAGGGCTCGGATTGATATCAGGGATGTGTGCTCTGTTATGTGTTAGTTCGTTGTTCACTGTGGTATCTGCTGACCATACACCTTTATCAGTGGTGGCGAATTCGTCGGGTCAAGAATTCCACCCTGCGCATATACTTTCATTGTCCCGGTCATCGATGTCTTCGTCGTCAAAGGATGACTTTATTCACGGAGAGGAGATACAGGAGAAAGAGGTAGGCTGAGATATGAAACTATGCAATGTTTAATTTGCGATTTTTATTTTTTTTTTATTTTTATTTTTTTATTTTTGTGTAGATATTTCTCATCATCATACTGCTGTGTAAAAGACATAGAATTCACAGTGTATTATTTCCTTCCACACTATCCTGTGCAATCGTTTAAACACTGCACAGGATGGCGTCTATTCCTGCACTTTTGGTCTCTCTGATGTTTATCTGCAGTAGATCATTATATTTGTCTTGACAGCATACCAACTATCAATTCAAGGTCTTTATGTCTAAAGAAAAAAATATCTACGAGTATACTGATATATTAGAATATTAGCAAAATGTAATAACCTGTTATTATTCGATGTTTTCTAGTTCCAAAGGAGCAGTAGATAATTCTATCGTTCGGTGTTTCTCTGGTTCCTAAGGAGCAGTAGATAATTCTATTGTTCGGTGTTTCTCTGGTTCCTAAGGAGCAGTAGATAATTCTATTGTTCGATGTTTTCTAGTTCCCAAGGAGCAGTAGATAATTCTATCGTTCGGTGTTTCTCTGGTTCCTAAGGAGCAGTAGATAATTCTATTGTTCGGTGTTTCTCTGGTTCCCAAGGAGCAGTAGATAATTCTATTGTTCGGTGTTTCTCTAGTTCCTAAGGAGCAGTAGATAATTCTATTGTTCAGCGCTTTTCTAGTTCCCAAAGAGCAGCAGATAATTCTATTTGTTTTGACAGCATACCAACTGTGGAGGTGAAAAATAAATTAAAATAAATACTAAACCTAAAATTTTTAATTGTAATGTTAAATCAGTAATTTTGAATGAAGCGGAAACATGGAGAACAACTAAGACAATTACTAAAAATTACAGACATTCATTAACTGGTGCCTACGCAGAATACAGGGAATTAAATGGTATGATAGAATAATTAATGTAGAACTTTGGAAGAGAACTAAACAGGCTGCAGTGGACCAAGAGGTGAGAAAAATACGCTAGCGTTGGATAGGACACACACTGAGGAAACAAGAGGACAGGATAACTAGAATGTCTTTGCATTAGAACCCACAGGGGCATAGAAATAAAGGAAGGCAAAAAATCACAAGGAGAAGAGAGCTGGAGAATGAAGTTAGAAAGTTGGGGAGGACATGGGGAGAGCTCCATGTAATGGCGAAGGATAGAACGACTTGGCATGAGTTGGTTGAGGGCCTATGCTCCATCGGGGGATAGAAAGGCAGAAGAAGAAGGAGCAGCAGATAATTATATTTGTCTTGACAGCATACCAACTATTAACATATAACAATATATTTTACACACAAAGATAATAAGGAAAGAGGTAGGCTGCGATACTACAAAAATGTTAGCTTTTTGCTCATGGTTGTTAAAGGTTCACTTCGTTCACATCGATCAAATACATATTCTAGGCTGCGATGTTACAGTATTAAACATCTGTATGTAATTTTAATATGCTCCTCTAGTTCGTAATGCTCATTGCTAATCTTTGTTAGACTCAGATATTTGGCTTAATTTTGTCCCCTCTTTTTGATAAGAATATACAGATTGAATGGTATAGTTAGACTGTCATGCAGCACTGTTAGCACCCCCCCCCCTTCCCACCAGATTGTAACTCTTATTCTTAAAGATCATATCATTAGATGCGTTCATCCCCTACCTTGTTAACTATTAGCTTCTATCATTTGTACAGGATTTCAGGGGTTTAGCGCGCAAAATCATATATAGGAATGTAAAACTCCGCTTTATTATATTACAACTAAAGTATATGATGGCTCAATAAGGACATAAATAATTTTCGGTATGGCTCATAATTATAATATTAATAAAGTACATACAAGTAAAGGATTCTTTCCCATGCCTTCAGACGTACTGAGCATGTAGACATAACCCTATATAGGGTGTATGTTTCATGACTGTAAACATGTTGAATCAATTATTTGCGCACCGTAATTAAATTTGTGTATTGCGTCATGTTTCAAGACACATGTAACCGTTAGCTTAGAATATCACTGCGAAATATGGGTGTTTAGTAGTTGACCTTAGCTATAATGGTGTTAAATATTGAAGAAAGGGTATTTTTGGTTGAGCATGTGTGTTCCTTAACGATGGCAAGTATTCGAATGTGGTTGTTCAAGAATTTATGATGTAATACTCAAAATCTAATCCTAATACTGTTTGCAATTTAATGCAAACAGAGTTGTAATGTAGAAAACAGTACCCCAAATAAGATACACTGTGGTGGAATACGTTGCATTAACTCCACAATATTTTCCAAAAATACAGTCATTAAAAATATAGCTTTTATTGTGTAGACCAGTCGGCACTGGGTAGATAATGTAATCAGCATCATACCGTCTGCCTTCTTCTTCTTATTCACGTTCACCAGCTGTAAACTCTGATGGAAAGTTCTGGTTGTTTATTCACTTCTGGACTGCAGTCCTGTTCCAGAACCTGAGTTTTGCATGTGTATCCGTTTTACAGATCTGACTCATTTGTATGCAGACTACTGGTCCCTTGCCTCTCATGCGACATGCTTTTGGGTTGGCAGTGGGTCCCTATAAAAGGGCCCCGGAACCCACAGAGGGAACCGTCTGCCTTTACTTCCCAGGACTTTACCTGGTAGCCATTTAAAGCTGGCCCAACCAGGCAGTCAAAGTAATATCCGAAAAAATAAAGCCCGGCTGTTTTGGATCCGCAGCCGAGCGTCTATCCGCTACACCACGATGACTACCTATTATAACAGCAATAGCAACAATAATCACTGGTAGCGTGGTGAGATAATTATTATAAACATTTTATAACGTGGAATTAACAAGTGTTTGCTAGTGAAACTAAGTCTTAATCCCTCAAACTATCGTCTTTTACGGAACAAATGTGAGTTTCTATATGTAATTTTTTTTTTTTTTTTTCAAGTGACTACATTCGTGTTTCTCTAAAATAAGAGTAGCGCAATGAAAACTCTTACTGCGGCCCAGTAATGATAGTAAACAATTTGTAAATTAGGTATCATAAACATCAGTATGGCTCTGTAAAATGACAAGAAGAAAAAATAGTAAAAAATCCTGTTTAAGCCCGTGTCGAAAACTTTAGACTCCTACTTGTATAGATCAGTCGGCAATCAGTGGGTGATACGGTCAACGTTTCTTCGGATGCCTTTACTTCCCAGGACACTACCTGTATCATTTTAGACTGAGTCGACTTTGGAGACAAGGTCGATTTTGAAGAAAAATGTCAGTTTTGATGCGGAATCGAACCCAGATTTTTTGGGTCGACAGGCGAGCTCTAGCTACGGCAGCTCCTATTGCTCTGAATGATCTGTACATGACCCAGTAATGATATTACACTGTTTGTAATATGACCCAGTAATGATTTTACACTGTTTGTAGTGTGACCCAGTAATGATATTACACTGTTTGTAATGTGACCCAGTAATGATATTATACTGTAATGTGACCCAGTAATGATATTACACTGTTTGTAATATGACCCAGTAATGATATTACACTGTTTGTAATGTGACCCAGTAATGATATTACACTGTTTGTAATATTACCCAGTAATGATATTACACTGTTTGTAATGTGACCCAGTAATGATATTATACTGTTTGTAATGTGACCCAGTGATGATATTACACTGTTTGTAATATGACCCAGTAATGATATTACACTGTTTGTAATGTGACCCAGTAATGATATTACACTGTTTGAAATGTGACCCAGTAATGATATTACACTGTTTGAAATGTGACCCAGTAATGATATTACACTGTTTGTAGTGTGACCCAGTAATGATATTACACTGTTTGTAATGTGACCCAGTAATGATATTACACTGTTTGTAATGTGACCCAGTAATGATATTGCACTGTTTGTAATGTGACAAAGCAGAAATTTTTCCACTGTAAATAATATGGCTCAGTAATGCTATTTCACATGTTGTAATATGACTCTGTAATAATGTTCCATAATTTCTCCTTGTTGGCCCTGGGACCCCATTGTGTGGGAAACAAGAACAGATCCACTGCTTCCTCAAAAAGCATGTCGTAAGAGTCGACAAATTGGGGAGCTTCCTTCAGAGTCGAAGTGCATCTGCCTGAGAGGCAAGGAACCAACAGTCTGCATACAAAAAAGCAAGATCTGTAAAACGGATACGTTACGTAAATCTCAGGTCCTGGTACAATGTCAAAGTCTAGAAATAGACGAACAACCAGTTTTTTCCTCCAGGCTTTACAGCCAGCACCATATTCCATAATTTGTAACAGTCAACAATTTGTAACAGTCAACAATTTGTAACAGTCAACAATTTGTAACAGTCAACAATTTATAATATGATTCGGTAATGAATAGTATTCCACAATTTCTTCATAACCCACTAACGATATTCTACATTTTGTCATGTGACTCAGACATGCAGTTTCCACAATTTGTGGTACGCCCTACGCATAGCTACACAATACGGCAGTAAGTAAATAGACGCACTGCGAAATGCATATTAAACCTAAACAATTAAAAGTACCCTATTTTGTTTTGTGTATGAGACGCCTCTATGTATAACAACCCCTATGTTGTTAGCCTAAAATTAGGAAATAACAAATATAAACACATTCTATGTATAAAACACTCCCAGTTTTAAACTTAAAATGTTTTGGAAGACGTGTCTTATACGAGGGAAAATACGATAAGTAAAGGAGCATTTCAAGTTAGTGGCGCGTCAGATATTTCATGAGACTAAAATTTTTATGGACCAACAGGTACATAGCTGGCCATGTGATCAACATCACACCGACCGCCTTTACTTCCCAGAACATTACTTGGAACCAATTAAGGTTGCGTCGACTTGGGAGCCACAGTCAGTTTAAAACAATTTCAGTGACGCGGATTCGACTTAGACCGTTGGGTCGGTTGGGTTGTTAGCTGCAGTACTCCTTTTCAGTACGTTAGTATTTAAAAAAAAAAATTTTAATTTGTACTGAAAAGGAGTACTGCAGCTAACATCGCTGTAAAGGGGAAGACAGCAGAACAAGAATAATAATAATAATAATTGTAATAATAATAATAATAATAATAATAATGTTCTGAATTGTAAATAAATAAAATAGTTTGTTCGAACATTTAGTTCCCTCTACATTGTGCAGACACGAGTTAATCTGCATTTACGACCGAAAACAAAAATATAAATGAATAAAGGTAACTAATTGATAGAGGTTAACAAGTTCACGGAACTGATGCCCGTGTCTAGCGGTGTCTAGACATCAAAGTGTGTTAGACCCTTTGTCGTATGGCAGACTGTTTTTATAACTTGTTTGCATGAAGATAATGTTGCATACAAATAAATTCAACTGAAGACCAGTTTGACTAACGATTTATTAGTCGGAACGGAAGGCGGTTGTAAGTCGAGTAGACCCTCTAATATGAAATGCATAAACAAACACTGGTAACGTCTCCTTACAAGATTATGTTTAAAATCGGGGGAGGGGGTGTCCGTGCTTCCAGCGCCCCTATATATAGTGAGATCACGCATTAGAGTGAATTTTTATGAGAAATATATGTATTTATCTGTATGTTTAAATTCATAGGGGATCAACTGCATTTAAAAAAAAAAATTAGTTTCTAAAGGAGGCTTCTTTGCTTTCCAGCTTTATGAGTGTGTGTGTAAAAAAAAGAGAGGAGGGGGGGGGGCAGAGTGTGAAGGGAGTGCTCATTATTTGTTTTCACGAGTGGTCGACAAACTCATTTGTCAAAAAAAAAAAAAAATAGCAGGATGATTAAAAAAATTTTGAGAGCCAAATTTTTGATCAAGAATCATGTATTTCGGAGATTTGTGGCCGACTGGCCGAGCCGCACTCAGGTTTCTAAAGAGCCTCATACGGCTCGGGAGCCGCAGTTTGCCGACCACTGGTCTAGTCTGTCTTTTTCCAGACATTTTCCGGTTAATTCGATAAATTATATGGAATTAAAAGCAGACCGAAAAAAAAGTCAAAATTTTAAAGGACCCGTAATCACACAGTGAGACTTAGTTGGCATATGGTGCTATCTCCATATTTAAATAACTGGGAACTTGACTAATGATGCGGACATTAGCTAGACGAGCTTTCTATACTTCTCTTAACTTTTCCCGTTATCCATTCCATTTAATGTGTGGTTTGCATTGGCAGCCTTGATATTTTTTTTTAATCAACCATTGCATAATATCCCCCCCCACCCCCCCACCCCCCCCCCCCCCAGCCCCCCCCCCCCCCCCCCCCCCCCCCCCCCCCCCCATTCATTTCCATTCCCCACCCTTATGACTCGTCCTATCGCGGTACAGAGAAACTCTCACCCTGCTTAGAAATCCTTTCTTGATATATAAATAGACATACAAGTTTTAATGGGAATGGGATATTTTCTTCTTAATTCCTGACCGTATTTTTTTTTTTTTTTTATTTATTTTATTGTCTCGTTTTTTTTGTTTTTTTATTAAAATGACGAATTGTTTCAGCTTTTATTGGCAGTTATCAACATTCTTTAAAATGTATTGATATTTAATTATTATTTATAACCTCAATTGGAACATCAGCCGCATGTATGCCAGCAACGTGTATTAGGGCGTCGGTACAAAGAAAATATTCGGTGTACTTGGGAGGGAGGCGAGGCACTAAGTCCCCTTATAAATATTCTAGGCCTAAACCTTGTTTAAGTGCGTATTACGGATAAAAGTAATGTGTTAAATGGCAAAAAAATAGAATCAAATGTTTGAAATTTTAAAACATCTTCAGCCAAATACTTAAACAAAATATAATGTGACATGGTAGTACAACAGAACACAAAAGTAATGTTTTGTATCATATCGTATTATATTATATTATATTATATTATATTATATTATATTATATTATATTATATTATATTATATTATATTATATTATATTATATTATATTATATTATATTATATTATATTATATTATATTATATTATATTATATTATATTATATTATATTATATTATATTATATTATATTATATTATATTATATTATATTATATTATATTATATTATATTATATTATATTATATTATATTATATTATATTATATTATATTATTAGTTGCATTGTTTTCTCTTAAATATCTTTTTTGTTTTTAACATTATTGTATTTTACCTTTACTTCGGTGTTTTTAAATCTATTTTTATCATGTGTGCATCTAAGTCTCAACTATGTAAATTAGTCATAATGGTCTTTCATTTAAATTAATTTATGTCAAGAAACTGACGATTTTCTCTAACTTGCAGTGTCTGTGTAAGGTGTTTGTCATATCAAGTGATAAGAACTCCGAATGTGATTTAAAAAACTGTTAATTGGTATGAACTAGATATTCAACTAGACAATGTTTCAGACATGCACAACTTAACCAATCAGCTTCTGATTTGTTCATGGTTGCTTCCTATGTTTAAACAGACCATTGTGTTGCTCTGTTATTGTTATCCCTAAGAACACTGCATGTGACTGAAACAAAGGGGTAGGTAAGTGCGTTCTCAAGCTGTCCCCACTGGCTAGAGTTTCAATCTTTATCAGTGTAGAAGTTTTATTCTTGGACAATTGACTCTGGTGTAGACACAGCCTAAAATATGCAGAATGTGTAAAATGTGTACCAGAAATTGTTTACTGGGTAAATATCCGTCTTGAATGATGGAGAAGGTGATGGTGATGATAATGGAGGTGCAATTTATACACACAAATTTATAATACGAGTACGCTTTCATGCGCATTGGGCAGGTAGGACACGACCTATATACACCAATCGGCACTCGATGGGTAATATGGTCAACATCACAGCGACCGCCCAAGGGGTCACTACACGACATTTTTTTTTTTCAAATTTAAGACAAAAATATCACTTTTTCAATGTGTTCGTTTTTGTAAAGTTTGGCATTCGTAGAATAGATTGCACACAAAATTTATGTCATTTGTAAACAATTAAGCTTCGAAAAGTTAATACTAAAGGCACCAACCCATGCACTTTTTTAAGATAAATAAAAGTTTAAAAGTCAGTTTTCTCACATCTCTATATTTCTGTTTGTTGTGTGTGTGAAATCCTAAAATCTCAGCTAATATAAAGACTAGAAACATGAAATTTAGTATGGATACTCCTTAAACAATATTTTAGGGACTGGTCTTATTAAAAGTAGAACAATAAACCTACATTTTAAAATTCTACGAAAAATATTTAAAAACATGTTTAAAATAAATAAACTACACCTGTACGTCTAAATATGATGAAACGTCATGAATCTATCATCTATTTCACAATACGTATGTTTGTTTTTGAAATTTTAGGATTCTAAGTAAATGTTGTTTGTTACCACAAGATGGCGGCTAATGCCATGATAACTATGATTTGTTCACACTTAAAGTATGCAAATGTAACAACGTGTATCCCTTCAAATGACCATTATAAAATAATTGCTCTAACTCTGTAAATAAAAATTTAAAAAAAGGCGAAGTGACCCCTGATTCCCATTTAATGCTGGGTAGGCCTGAGAGCCAGGGTCATATTTGAAAAAGTCCGGTTCTTCTTCTGCCTTTCTAAGCCCCATTGAAGAATAGGCCCTCAGCCATCTCACGCCAAGTCGTTCGAGCCTTCGCTATCTCATGCAGCTCTGCCCACGTCCTCCCCCATCCTTTAAACTTCCCTGTCTAGTTTCCCTATCCATGTGTCCCTTGATATAAAAATATAAAATTCCCATAGAGACCAATAGACTGATGACTGAGTTTACTTTGTATGTCTCCTTTAATTGTTCCTATCAGTGTTTCCATATATCTGTGGCTACATTCACAGGTGCTGAACCATTTTTTCCGTAATGGTCGGAGAAGGAACATCTTCCACAAACCATCAACCACATTTATGGTCAGTCTCTTCAATAGACTTCAGCGAGGAGGCGCTGTTGTCAACGAAAGTTCTGGAACTACAACGGATACCATCAGGAGCTTCTCGGGTCAAAGTAAGTTATCCAGATTTTGTAGAAGAAATTGTATATTTTGTTGCTCATTTTATTAACAGTTCGTTGCATATTGATATACATAGAGCTTTGCAGCCTTCTTCTTCCTAATCTACCTCCCCCTTCTTCTTCTTCTTCTTCTTCTTCTTCTTCTTCTTCTTCTTCTTCTTCTTCTTCTTCTTCTTCTTCTTCTTCTTCTTCTTCTTCTTCTTCTTCTTCTTCTTCTTCTCCTTTTCTTCTTCTTCTTCTTCTTCTTCTTCTTCTTCTTCTTCTTCTTCTTCTTCTTCTTCTTCTTCTTCTTCTTCTTCTTCTTCTTCTTCTTCTTCTTCTTCTTCTTCTTCTTCTTCTTCTTCTTCTTCTTCTTCTGCTGCTGCTGCTGCTGCTGCTGCTGCTGCTGCTGCTGCTGCTGCTGCTGCTGCTGCTGCTGCTGCTGCTGCTGCTGCTGCTGCTGCTGCTGCTGCTTCCACTTTTCCTTCTACTTCTTCTTCTTTCCTCTTTTTCTCCCCTCATTCTTCTTTTCATCTTCTTCTTCTTTTTCTTCTTCTTCTTCTTCTTCTTCTTCTTCTTCTTCTTCTTCTTCTTCTTCTTCTTCTTCTTCTTCTTCTTCTTCTTCTTCTTCTTCTTCTTCTTCATCTGTTTTCTTTTTTTCTCCATCTTCTTTTTCCTTCTTCTTCTTCTTCTTCTTCTTCTTCTTCTTCTTCTTCTTCTTCTTCTTCTTCTTCTTCTTTTTCTTCTGCTGCTGCTGCTGCATTCATATCTTTACTCGCCCTTAATAGGGTGGACGACACACTGTGTTGTGACTCACCGCTAGGCTGAGATATCTGCAAGTTTGGCCCAACACATCCAGTTAAGGCAAACCCATAATTTGTCACCTTTTAAACATTTTCCTTGGAAAGAAACCAGTAAAGTAAGTAAAAGTAAAGAGGTCCACGCCTTCCGGTGTTAGAAGGTTAGTTGCGTGTCCTTTACAGGACGTTGCAGAACCAGCCCAGTCCCTGGCTGTTGTACGGTTTTTCTAGGCAAATTTAAGTCCAGTAGTTTGCCATTGCCTCTGGACGGTCGGCTTTTTTTATACCACTGTCGAAATCAACGCAAGGCGCATGGCCGGCAGCTGGGATCGAACCCGGCATCCCGATAATACGAAGCGTTCGCATCGACTTAGCCACAGAGCCGACCCTTCCGGTGTAGTGGGATATAGGGCTAGACCTATACTTCAGTGTATTGGGAATATAGGCCTAGTGCTATACTTCAGTGTATTGGGAATATAGGCCTAGATACTTTGGTGTATTGGGAATATAGGCCTAGTGCTATACTTCAGTGTATTGGGAATATAGGCCTAGATGTATACTTTCGTGTATTGGGAATATAGGCCTAGATGTATACTTTGGTGTATTGGGAATATAGGGCTATACCTATGCTTTGGTGTATTGGGAATGTAGGGCTAGACCTATACTTTGGTGTATTGGGAATGTAGGGCTAGACCTATATTTTGGTGTATTGGGAATGTAGGGCTAGACCTATACTTTGGTGTATTGGGAATATAGAGCTAGATCTATACTTCAGTGTATTGGGAATATAGGGCTAGATCTATACTTCTTTGTATTGGAAATGTAGGGCTATACCTATGCTTTGGTGTATTGGGAATGTAGGGCTAGACCTATACTTTGGTGTATTGGGAATGTAGGGCTAGACCTATACTTCAGTGTATTGTGAATGTAGGGCTAGACCTATACTTTGTGTATTGGGAATGTAGGGCTAGACCTATACTTCAGTGTATTGGCAATATATGGCTAGACCTATACATTGGTGTATTGGGAATGTAGGGCCAGACCTATACTTTGGTGTATTGGGAATGTAGGGCTAGACCTATACTTTGGTGTATTGGGAATGTAGGGCTAGACCTATACTTCAGTGTATTGGGAATGTAGGACTAGACCTATACTTTGGTGTATTGGGAATGTAGGGCTAGACCTATACTTCAGTGTATTGGGAATGTAGGGCTAGACCTATACTTCAGTGTATTGGGAATATAGGGCTAGACCTATACTTTGGTGTATTGGGAATGTAGGGCTAGACCTATACTTTGGTGTATTGGGAATATAGGGCTAGACCTATACTTTGGTGTATTGGGAATTTAGGGCTAGACCTATACTTTGGTGTATTGGGAATATAGGGCTAGACCTATACTTTGGTGTAGTGGGAATGTAGGGCTAGACCTAAACTTCAGTGTATTGGAAATATAGGGCTAGACCTATACTTTGGTGTATTGGGAATGTAGGGCTAGACCTATACTTTGGTGTAGTGATAATATAGGGCTAGACCTATACTTTGGTGTATTGGGAATATAGGGCTAGACCTATACTTTGGTGTATTGGGAATATAGGGCTAGACCTATACTTTGGTGTATTGGGAATATAGGGATAGTCCTATACTTTGGTGTATTGGGAATGTAGGGCTAGACCTATACTTTTATAGGCACTCGTTGTGTGAGGTAGTCAACATCACGCCGGCCGCCTTTACTTCAATGAACTGTACCTGGTACCTATTTAAGGCTTGATCGACATGTAAACTAATAAAGTTTTTACTATTTAATTGAATTCCTTGTGATCAAACAGGCAATAATCTAATTATGCATGCATATACGTTTTGAAGCAGCCACCCGGGTGCAAAAAAAAAAGCTAAACCTTACACCCGGCCATCTTGTTGTCAGTCAGAGGAGAGTCACACATTTAGGCTTCTATTTAAAAAAAATATCCTAAAGTAAAGTAAGGGGCCCTTCCCTATACACCCATAAAGCACATCAGGGATACATCAACAGTTTTATCACTTTCGGTTCCAGAAGATTTTACAGAAGATATGAAGTAATGAAATCCTCATAATGGAAAATCATAAATCCTTTACTTTTAAAGTTGTTTCTTTCGAAGTCGGAGCGCATCTGCACAAGAGACAGTGAACCAACAGCCTGCATACTTTTAGGCTCAATCTTTAAAAAGGGTGTACACGCAAAACTTGGTTGCTTGAACAAAGCCAAACTCCAGAAATGGACGAGCAACCAGATCTTTCCGCGAGAGTTTAGAGCCGGTGAATTTAAACAAGCAAACTTTCAAACTGGCGATATACAGGCCACATACACATTCTTCCATTCCCACAAGCAAACTTTCAAACTGGCGATATACAGGCCACATACACATTCTTCCATTCCCACAAGCAAACTTTCAAACTGGCGATATACAGGCCACATACACATTCTTCCATTCCCACAAGCAAACTTTCAAACTGGCGATATACATGCCACATATACATTCTTCCATTCCCACAAGCAAACTTTCAAACTGGCGATATACAGGCCACATATACATTCTTCCATTCCCACAAGCAAACTTTCAAACTGGCGATATACAGGCCACATACACATTCTTCCATTCCCACAAGCAAACTTTCAAACTGGCGATATACAGGCCACATACACATTCTTCCATTCCCACAAGCAAACTTTCAAACTGGCGATATACAGGCCACATACACATTCTTCCATTCCCACAAGCAAACTTTCAAACTGGCGATATACAGGCCACATACACATTCTTCCATTCCCACAAGCAAACTTTCAAACTGGCGATATACAGGCCACATACACATTCTTCCATTCCCATAAGCAAACTTTCAAACTGGCGATATACAGGCCACATATACATTCTTCCATTCCCACAAGCAAACTTTCAAACTGGCGATATACAAGCCACATACACATTCTTCCATTCCCACAAGCAAACTTTCAAACTGGCGATATACAGGCCACATATACATTCTTCCATTCCCACAAGCAAACTTTCAAACTGGCGATATACAGGCCACATATACATTCTTCCATTCCCACAAGCAAACTTTCAAACTGGCGATATACAGGCCACATACACATTCTTCCATTCCCATAAGCAAACTTTCAAACTGGCGATATACATGCCACATACACATTCTTCCATTCCCACAAGCAAACTTTCAAACTGGCGATATACAGGCCACATACACATTCTTCCATTCCCATAAGCAAACTTTCAAACTGGCGATATACAGGCCACATACACATTCTTCCATTCCCACAAGCAAACTTTCAAACTGGCGATATACAGGCCACATATACATTCTTCCATTCCCACAAGCAAACTTTCAAACTGGCGATATACAGGCCACATATACATTCTTCCATTCCCACAAGCAAACTTTCAAACTGGCGATATACAGGCCACATACACATTCTTCCATTCCCACAAGCAAACTTTCAAACTGGCGATATACAGGCCACATACACATTCTTCCATTCCCACAAGCAAACTTTCAAACTGGCGATATACAGGCCACATACACATTCTTCCATTCCCATAAGCAAACTTTCAAACTGGCGATATACAGGCCACATACACATTCTTCCATTCCCACAAGCAAACTTTCAAACTGGCGATATACAGGCCACATATACATTCTTCCATTCCCACAAGCAAACTTTCAAACTGGCGATATACAGGCCACATACACATTCTTCTATTCCCATAAGCAAACTTTCAAACTGGCGATATACAGGCCACATACACATTCTTCCATTCCCATAAGCAAACTTTCAAACTGGCGATATACAGGCCACATACACATTCTTCCATTCCCATAAGCAAACTTTCAAACTGGCGATATACAGGCCACATACACATTCTTCCATTCCCATAAGCAAACTTTCAAACTGGCGATATACAGGCCACATACACATTCTTCCATTCCCACAAGCAAACTTTCAAACTGGCGATATACAGGCCACATATACATTCTTCCATTCCCACAAGCAAACTTTCAGACTGGCGATATACAGGCCACATACACATTCTTCCATTCCCATAAGCAAACTTTCAAACTGGCGATATACAGGCCACATACACATTCTTCCATTCCCATAAGCAAACTTTCAAACTGGCGATATACAGGCCACATACACATTCTTCCATTCCCATAAGCAA